TTTTTTTTTTTTTTTTTGGGGGGGGGGGACAAAACCAGTTCTTAATGGTACATTTAATTCCTTAGAAATAAACCTTCCATTTGTTAAAATATGCATCGAAGTGCTAATTTTGCAGTCATTACACGACTTCCAACTGGCTGGACATTAAGAAATGGCTCAAACTCTAGTAATTTCATGTATCTCTTCTATTGCAAGACATGTATAAACTGGGTCAGGGTGGAGTGAGTAAATTAGTCATCATAAATACGATGCCTCTTTTCACAAAGGATTCAAGTAGTACATGGAATACAAAGTTCATCTTTTTATTTATTAATTTTTTTAAGGAAACAGGATCTTGCTGGGTTTCCCAGGCTCGGTTCCCTSGGGAATGCTTGGCCACAAGCAATCCTCCTGGGACTACAGGAGGATTATTTTTATCAGATTATGTTAGTCAGCTTTTCATTGCTGTGACCAAGGACAACTTAGTTGAGGAAAAGTTTATTTTGGCTCATGGTTTCAGGGGTTTTTGTTCATGGTGGGCCAGAATCATTACTTTGGACCCAAAGTAAGGCAGAACATCATGGCATAAGGGCATGGATGAAGAAAGCTACTTGGTTCATGGCAGAGAAAAAGCAGAGAGAGAAGGCTAAGCCGATGCAGGGAAGATAAACCCTCCCAGGGCAATCTGTCCCATCCAGCCAAGCCCCACCTGCCTATAGTTACACMCAGTCTGTCCATTCAATCTAGGATGGACTAATTAGGTTATAGCTCTCATAATCCAATCATTTGACTTCTGAATAGTCTTGCATTAACAGGAGCTTTTGGATGACACCTCATATCCAAACAAATATCATTCTTCTGGCTTTCCTTATTTCCCTTATCATTTTTACCACTTCTTCTAGACCAGCAAATGGCTAGGGATCAACCCGGATCTCTAGGTGAGAATGAAGATTTTTAGCTTCTGCAAGGGTTTTATCATAATTTCTTCACTACTTAGGGAATAAGAGAGATTCCTGCTTTTCATTTCTCAAAAATGTGTTATCTGCAGTACATTCTTTTTGGCACTTAGRTAAAATAAAGAAGCCATAAACTGCAAAATTTGGGGTCCTTTGTGTTTATGTGCATTTTTTAGAGTACATGGCTATCAGCCAATTATCAAAGTGTCTTTTGAACCGTAAACAGTTAAAAAAAAAAAAACATTGCTTAATAAGTGAGGGAAAAGTTTGAGATCCATGAACTGATATCCCACAGGTACCTTTGCTTATAGTAAGTGGTAATAGCACTTGTGCTGGTAAACTAAAAACAGCAAACCCTCGTTTCTTAGAATTGAGGAGAAATGCAGTTCCCTAGAGTGCCAGGAAATACCCACACTGAGAGCATTCAGTCCTGTTTGCAGGTTATGTTTCTTTCTACTTCACATAAATGTTTTTATCAACATTAAAAAAAAGTAAGAATTTAAAATTCTGTCATATACAGTATCCAAAAGCACACTGCTTAGTTAGAGATCCCTGAAGGGGTTTTTCCTACTGACACCAAGAATACAGTATCATCCACACCAGTTCTCTAATTCTCTGACAAAACTGGATACCCAATAATTCAATTCAATTCTGACTCAAATACCTAGAATTGGCATCCGACTCCAGGGTTTAAGGGCTCAGTCCCACAAGACTGCCCTCACTTCAGAAGCCAGTAGCAAACATTGGGCCTCCATATTACAGGACCACCTGTCTAGGTACAAATTCAGGGGCTGCCAAAACCCTACCCTTCAAATTTGATAATTTCCTAGTATGACTCATGGTATTGACTCAGGTAAATGCTATATTTACCATTATAGTTGTTAAAAAGATAAAAATGAGGGGCTGGGGATGTGGCTCAAGCGGTAGCGCGCTCGCCTGGCATGCGTGCAGCCCGGGTTCGATCCTCAGCACCACATACAAAAAAAAAAAAAAAACTAAGACGTTGTGTCCGCCAAAAACTAAAAAAATAAATATTAAAATTCTCTCTCTCTCTCTCTCCCTCCCCCTCTCTCTTAAAAAAAAAAAAAAAAAAAAAGATAAAAATGATTTTTTTTTGGTGTGTTGAGGATTGAACCCAGGGGGTCTTATGCATGCTAAACAGAAAGATAAATAAATCTCTGGATAGAGGCATACAGGATGATGTTTGGAAGGGTCCCGAATATAGTATCCTCTGTTTTTATGGAAATGGCATGTACTACCCTCCTAGCACATGGATGTGTTCGCCAACCTGGAAACTCCCCCAAATCATACATAGGGGGCTATATGGAGGTTTTATTTTATTTATTTTTTAATTTTTTTTTAATTATACATGGCCATAATATCTTTATTTTGTTTATTTATTTTTATGTGGTGCTGAGGATCGAACCCAGGGTCTCACAGTGTGAGGCGAGCACTCCACCACGGAGCCACAACCCCAGCCCCTGGAGGTTTTATTACATGATTAAATTATTGGCCAATGTGATTCAATCAATCTCTAGGCCTTTCCTGGATGGGTGGGTGAGGTGGGGTGGGAGGCTTGAAATTTCCAAGATTCTGATGAAGTGGCCTTTCTGGCAATTAGCACTTATCTAGAAGCAATCTAGGGAGCTGTCAAGAGTAGCTTCATTAGCACAAATTCAGGTATGGTTAAAAGGGTTATAAATAACAAAAGATGTGTGCTCATATCACTCAGGAAATTCCAAAGGTTTTTAGGAGCTCTTTGCCAGGAACCAGGGATAAAGACTACATACATATTCCTTATTATACTATAATCATTATAGAAAGAAAAACAAGTAAAAATTCAAGAGTGAACATATACTTTGGTTGGCTAATAAGTCAAGAAACACTGGTCCAGGATTCACTAGCTCTTCTAGGTTCCTTAATGGCAAGACCTTGTCCATCTTATTCACTGTTTTGTCTACATCACTTAGAGAGGTATTAGGTGCTCAACAAATGTAGTTGTCTTTTCATTGAGAGAACTAGGACAAGACATAAGAAAAACTGAAAAACAACCACTRTTTAGATATATAGTTCTCTTTTCAGGTTGCAGATGTTAAGTCTAAAGTATATAAAGGCATTGTTCAAACATATCAGACTCAGTTTCCTTCTGTGTCATGTGCATGGTCCCTAAATAACTCCCTGCCTCTGCAGAGTCCTAGAAGCTGCAATTACCTAGTAGTCAGTGGCTTCATTCTGTGTTGTGCCAGCTCCGGGAGGCCCATAAAGTGAAGGTTTTGTGCTTCCACTTAAAAGTCAAATTCTGATTAGATTTTAAATCTAATGGAATGAGTTACGACTTTGACTTTTTTTTTTTTNTTAATTAATTAATTAATTAATTTTGACACAGGGTCTTGCTAAGTTCCTGAGGCTGGCTTCAAACTCACAATCCTCCTGTCTCAGCCTCCCAAGCTGCACACACCACTACCCCCAGAGCTTAGGACCTTTAATTTTCATCTCAACTCCTTTGTTCTGTTTACATATTCTTGTAACATCACGCTGTATCCCAGTACTTCATGATGATGGCAACTAAGCATTTAAATACAATTTTTGTTTTCAACAGGCCAAACAAGGCCTGTTAGAATAAAACACCAGTGATTCTCAAACTCTTGTCTACCCAATCACCTGAGGGATGTACACACAAATTCATCAGTAAAGTTAACACAGCTTAGAGGAGGGGAAGGCACACTTGTGGAAAATTCCTCAGTGATTTTATCACCCACCTTTCTTCCCCATTGAGAATCACTGGTATAAATTATTCAGTTCCAGGGCTGGGATTGTGGCTCAGTGGTAGAGCGTTCACCTAGCATGTGCAAGGCTCTGGGTTCGATCCTCAGCACCACATAAAATAAATAAAATAAAGGTATTGTGTCCAACTACAGCTAAAAAATAAATATTAAAAAAATTATTCAGTCACATCTACCTGATGATTATGTCACATCTACCAGATGCTTATTAAAACATGGAATATGGGCTGGGATGTGGCTCAAGCGGTAGCGCGCTCACCTGGCATGCGTGCGGCCCGGGTTCGATCCTCAGCACCACATACCAACAAAGATGTTGTGTCCACCGAGAACTAAAAAATAAATATTAAAAATTCTCTCTCTCTATCTCTCTCTCTCCTCTCTCACTCTCTCTAAAAAAAAAATAAATAAAAAAAAATAAAAAAAAAACATGGAATAAAGGGTTGCCATGTTATTTACCTGTTATGTTTTTTGTTGAACAGCAAGAATTAATGCAGTCTTCCTGAGTTATTGTATATGTGGGCTCATTGCCTCTGATTCCCTTAGAAAGAGATGATTGAATGTCAATGACAACATCTTCTAGACTTTTGGTGAGGCAATTCTGGCTGGCGGACAGCCGTAAAGTCAGGAAACAAATTATCACCAAAGTGTAGGTCAAGCTTCGTTCTTCCCTGAAGAACATTTTAAATTTCACTTTAGTCTTGGTCTTCAAAGGTTAAGATGACTCTTTCTGTGATCTCAGTTTGCTTCAGAAAGCTTGCACAAATGATAGAACTTCTCTCTAGAACAAAAATAGAAAGTCATCAATCAGTTTTGTTTCCTTTACAAACCAAGGAAAAARTATTTCAATTAATGAAAATGACCCACATACAACCTAGAGAAGAACAGACAGAAACAAGTATGTTTTGTTTATTTCACCCTTAATATATTTGAGATGAACACTCATTAGAAACTTGGCAAATAACGAGTAAGCGCAAACACAAATACTATCCTGTTGATGATTAAAAGCTGACAGTACCAATGAAGAGGTATAAGTAGAAGTCTTGAGTTCTAGTTCTTCTTGCCTCTCCTAACTAGGAGGAGAGAGAACACAAAATTTCTAGTTACTGAAGAAAAAGTGATACTAGGTTTGAGCACACTTCCTTTCTCAGCAATAACATGATTTTAAAATCATCTACTGGATGGGGGACATCGTGCTAAACAATTTGCATATATCACACTCTTTAATCCTATAGCAGCCCTGCAAAAGAGCATCCCCCCACCACACACACATTTTCTTTTGCAGCACTGAGGACGAAGCCCAGGGGTGCTCTACCTCTGAGCTACATCACCAGCCCTTGATGTTTTTTATTTTGAGACAGGGTCTCACTAATTGCCCAGACTGGCCTCAAACTTGCAAACCTCCTGCCTCAGCCTCTGGAATTACTAGGATTGCAGACATGAGCCACATGCCCTACTAAAAAACAAAACATTGTAAATGAGGAAGTAGAGGAAGATTTTCTTACTGTTGCCTCTYTTTATATATTGGAATGGAGGCAGATAAATCTAATAATCTAAATCTAGGGAGTATCTGGTCAGTAGAGGGAATATTCTGGTTCATTTGAGGGAAARTTTATGGAAAAGACTTATTGGCACCCCCCCAAAATACAAGTTACACTATGTATAATGCCAACTCCATTGGAAAAGCCGATTTTTTCAGGAAAAATAAACGTTAAACTGACAAGATAATATTATTATACACTCACTCACCTACTCCCATATTTCCAGACTACAAATGTTGACTGAATGATAGCTTTAGCACAGAATTACTGCTTCTTTTTAACCTTTTTTGGTCACAAATTCCTTTGATAGTTTAAGGAAGGTTAGGAACTATCCTGAGATACACATTTTAAAAAGCATAAGATGAAATATATAGGATTACTAAGGAAGCCAGTTACATTAAAAAATACTTATCAAAATAGTCTTTAAGGGCTAGGGTGGTGGCTCAGTGGTAAAGCATTTGCCTAGCATGTGTGAAGCACTGGGTTCGATTCTCAGCACCACATATAAATAAATGAATAAAATAAAGGTTCATCAATATCTAAAAAAAATTTTTTTAAATAGTCTTTAAAATGTTTCTATAAAATATTGATGAAAGAAATCAAAGAAGATCTAAGTAAATGGAGAGAAAGTCTGTGTTCAAGAATAGGAAGATCTTACATTATTTTTTAAAATACTTATTTTTTATAAGKAATTGAACACAATATTTTAACTTTATTTATTCTTATGTGGTTCTGAGGATCGAACCCAGGGCCTTGCAYATGCTAGGTAAGTGCTCTACCGCTGAGCCACAACCACAGCCCAATAATGCAATTTTTTTTTTGTAGTGCTGGGAATTGAACCTTACCAACTGAGCTATATCCCTAGCCTCAACACTGTTAAGATGTCAGTTTTTCCCAACTTGATCTATAGATTCAATACATCCTCAATCAAAATCCCAGCAAAAAAGTTTGTGGATACCGACAAACTGATTTTAAAGTTCACATAGAAGTGCAAAAAGACCTAGACTAGCCAACACAATACTGAAGAACAATAAGGCTGGAGAACCAACACTATCTGACTTCAATATTTATTATAAAGCTATAGTAGCTGAGCACAGTAGTGCACACTGTAATCCCATCAACTTGGGAGGCGAAGGCTGGAGAAGCTCAAGTTTGAGGCTAGCCCTAGAAACTTAGTAAGACCCTCAGCAACTTAGCAAGACCTCAAAATAAAAAAGAAACGGACTGGTGATGTAGTACAGTGGTAAAGCACCCTCAGTTCAATCCTTGGTACTAAAAAAAAAAAAAATTATAGTAATCAAAAAAGTGTGGTACTCGAAAAAGAATAGGAAAATAGATCAATGAAATGGAATAGCAAGCCCAGAAGGAGACAAACACTAATCCAGGCAACTTATCCTTGATAATGGAGCAAAGTCAATTCAATGGWGGTAGTCTTTTCAAAAATGGTGCTGGAATCACTGACTATCCATGTGCAAAAGATAACTCTTGACACAACCTTATATCTTGTACTAAAACTAACTCAAAATGGATCATTAACTSAAATGTAAAACACAAAACCATAAAATTCTGAGAGGATAACATAAGAGAAAAATCTTTGTGACCTCAGACTAAAGGATGAGTTTTCAGATACAATACCAAAAGCACAATCCATAAAAGAAAAAAAAATCAATGTTGGGTTTCATTAAAATTAAAACCTTGAGGCTGGGGTTGTGGATCAGAGGTACAGCGCTTGCCTAACATGTGTGAGGCACTGGGTTCAATCCTCAGCACCACATAAAAAGAAAAAAAATCTTCATGATATTGTGTCTACCTATAACTAAAAAATAAATTTAAAAAATTAAAACCTTTTTCTATATAACAGACATTGTTAAAGGAATGAAAAGACAAACATATGCTTGGAAAAACTATTTGAAAACATATCTGATAAAGGACTGGTATCCAAAATTTACAAAGAACAATTAAAACTCAATAATAATGGGGAAAAAACCCTAAAAAATGGGCAGGAGATTTCCATAGACCTCACCAAAGATACATAGATGACAAATAAGCATAAGGTGCTCAACGTCACGTGTCATTAGGGAATTGCAAATTCAAATGAGATACCACTACACACATATAAGAATGTCTAAAATCCAAAAAGTGATGATAGCAAATACTGTCAATGATATGGAGCAATAAGAACTTTTATTCATTGCTTATAAGAATGCAAAATGGTATAATMATTTTGGAAAAATTCAGGTAGTTTTTTACAAAGCTAAATATAGTTTTACCAAACAATTAAGCAATTGTCCTATTATATATTTACCCAAATGTGTTAAAAACTGTATCCATACAAAAACCTGCACAAGAATGCTTATAGTAGCTTTATTCATAATTTTTCCCAAACTGGACACAAACTGTTCATTAATAGGTGAATGAATCAACAAAATGAGATACAACTATACCATGGAATATTATTCAGCAACAAAAGGAAATGATCAAATCATATTGCTTAGTAAAAGAAGAAGCCAGTCTGAATTGATGTGATTCCAACTATGTGACATTCTTGAAAAGCCAAGCTAAAGAGACAGTGCTTTCCAGAAAGAAAAGAGGAATGGATGAGTGGAGCACAGTAGATTTTTAAGGCAGTGAAAGTATTTTGTATGATATTACAATGGTGGATACATTTCAYTGCATATCCATCAAAACAGATAGAACTTCTCACCTCAACCAGAAGAAAGGTTAAGATGGTAAGGATGGTGGAACAAAATCTGAGAAGATTCCATATTACCCTTCATACTTCAGACTCACTTATGCAGGAAAAAAATTAGCCTGCATCTACTCATGTCTCTATTTTTTCATGCTTATGTTCTTGCAATAAAAAGTCTWACCTATTAGAAAAATACTTGAGAAATAAATCAATTAATTAAAAAACATGGTAGAATTATAAAACATGTAGAGTAAACCCATGTGAGGTATAAACTTTAGTAAAAAAAAAAATACAAAAGAGGTTAAAAAAATAGGGCTAGGGTTGTGGCTCAGTTGTAGAGTGCTCGCCTAGCACATGTGAGGCACTGGATTCAATCCTCAGCACCCCATAAAAATGAAATAAAGATATTGTGTGTCCACCTACAACTAAAAAATAAATATATTTTAAAAAGGTTAAAAAAATAAAATCAGTCTATAGGAATAGAACACAAGTCTAATACCTCCTTTGCTATTATGTTCAACTTCTGTATATAATAAAATGGTAATATGGTTTCTCACATGCCAGTCTCCATGCTAAGCACTTTACACGTATGTCTTTAATCCTTACAAGAATCCTAATGAGATAGATCCCCTTATTATTCCCATTTGCAGTTAGAATAAAAAACCCGACATTGTGTGATATATATGTGCTGCTGTGTGTGTGTGGTACTAGGGACCGAATTCAGGGATGCTCTACCACYGCATCACTGCCTCAGCCTTTTTTTTTTGGACACAGGGCCTTGCTAAATTGCCCAGCTTGACTTTGAACTTACAAGTCTCCTGACTMAGGCTCCCAAGTAGCTGGGATGACAGGTGTGTGTCACTATGTCTGGCATATATGTACTACCACTACTACTGATACTTTTTTTTTTTTAAACTGGGGATTGAACTCAGGGGTACTCAACCACTGAGCCACCTCCCTAGCTCCATTTTGTACTTTATTTAGACACATGGTCTCACTGAGTTGCTTAATGCTTTACTTTTGCTGAGGCTGGCTTTGAACTTGCAACCCTCCTGTTTCAGCCTCACATGAGCCACAGCGCCCGGCTATGTACTTCTTTATTAACCAATTAAATGATAACTGGTACATCTAATAACTGCCATAATTTTAAACAAATCTTTATTTTTAGTTGTAGTTGGACACAATGCCTTTATTTTTATTTATTTTTATCTGGTGCTGAGGATCTAACCCAGGGCCTCGMAGCTGCTGAGCAAATGAATGCTTTACCGATGAGCCACAAACCCAGCCCCATAACTGCCATAATTTATATTTTGAGGCTTGGGTTGTGGCTCAGCAGTACAGTGCTCACCTAGCACATGTGAGGCCCTGGGTTCGATCCTCAGCACCACATGAAATAATTTAATAAAAATAGGTATTGTGTTCAATTACAACAAGAAAATAAAATATATAAAAAATAATATTTTGAGATACATGCAACAAGTAACATACATGAAAAAGTCTGATACCTACGGGTGGCAAATCATAGCTACTGTTATTACTACTGTGGCTTTT